GCAGTTTCTCCTCCCCCTCCCCCTCCGGCCGTGCCGCATCTGAGTGACGCGCTCACGTCCCGCCCTGCCCCCTCCCCGAGCAACGGTGTGGGACCGCGGGGAGTGGGGATGTCGCAGCAGCCGGGCGCGGGCGTTGGTGACGACACCGCTCGCACGTCACCTGTCGGGCACGTGGCAGCGGCAGGCGTCATTGCGGCAGCGGAGGCGGTGGGGGAGGCTGGGAGCTCGTTCCTGGAGTCGCGGGTCACAGGCTCCGGGCAGCTTGGCGAGGGCCCGATCTCGCCCCTCGCCCGCTTGTGGGCTTTTTTTGACGACGGACGAGGCGCAGAGCAGGTTTTCCATCGCTCGGCAACAGGCAGCGGCGCGGGCTGCTCCAGCGCTGCCGCCCCACGACAAACGGCGGCGGCTCCCACCAGGCATCTCACTCTCTCACCCCCCCCTCCCCAAGCTAGGACTTGCCAAAACAAGTACAACAGATTAGGGCACATACACATTTTTCCAACCCAAGCGCCCCAAGCTGGGACACACACAAGCCAATATAAGTACACCAAGCTGCCACACAGGGGGCCAATGCAAGCACACCAAGCTAGGACCCCCCCACAACAAACACACACTGTTGCATGCACAAATACAAGCGCACTGAGCTAGGAAACTGCAGAACCAAGTTTGCCCCTTGGACCTTGTTCTAGCCATCTTCAGCTAGTCCACAGTAGTTGTAGCTGTACACCAGCACCCCATGGTGCTAGCCACTGGTCAGATACAGGAAAGGCAAGTCCCTTGTCATATGTGTGTGTGTGTGTGTGTGTGTGTGTGTGTGTGTGTGTGTCCCCAAGCTTACAATTTTGTGTCTATCAAGTATGATATGGTACTTGCTTGCATGGGCTCATACTCCCCCCCACCCCACTTTACCTCATTAAGTGCACAAAGTAGGTAACACTAATAAAGGAGCAGCTATCCCATATCGTTTTCTCTTCAGTTCAGTTTCCAGCTCCATGGCTTGTATCCTACTACATTTTACTCCAACCTTGCTCTGTAGGCCAAGTTAACAATATCCTCATGAACTACAACTCTCAAACAATGAAATAAAATAGAATGAGGTATGTTCCGGCCCCCCCCCCCCCCCAAAACCCTAGGCCCCAAAAAAAAAAAAAAAAAAAAAAGGGGTTTTTCCCCCCCCCCCCCCCCCCCCAAAAGACTTAGGTCACTTTACAAGATAAAGTAATAACCCCCAAATAATACCCCAACATCCAAATGCTCCAGGAAGTTTTACATCTAAGAACTACTTACTTCTGAGATACTAATTTCTCAGTCCTTGACTGGTACCTACTGATTTTTTTAAAAATGTAGCTTTGTGTCTAATACAGAAATGTGATTCAATAGATCTGCTCCTTATGCCTGCTGTTAAAGAGTTAGAAACTTAAAAAGATGGACCAGAGAGACATCAGATCTGATCCAGTATGGGCATGGCATTTCCTGTGCCTAACAATGGTGAGTATTAAGGCAGATGTGGGATATTCAATCCCCTATATTAGGTCTTACTCATGTCCAATAGTTAGGACTTCAGCATCCATTTCTCTCCCAAGCATTTATTTTATAAAAATATGTAATTCATGGAATACAACTCCATGGATTTCATGGAATATATCAGGAAGAAGCAGCAATAGCGGAAAGTTCCTAGCTTCTGACCTTAGCTGGGTCTTTCTGGCACAGGGTCTGAAAAGGTTGCTGACCATTGGCCTAGAAAGCCTCTCACTTTTGTGTCTCTTTGACCGAAGCCATCTTGAATCACTTTCTTTATGATGGCAGTTTCAGGCAGGAGGAAAGGACTTAAAGCTTTGTTGTTATGGCACTGTCTGGAAGTACCATAACAACACAGGCACAGCCTGGTTTTAATCCTCAGGCTGAGAATGGAATTCAGTCTGCATCTCCCATATCCTGGGCCAGTGTCATGGCCACTAAGCACACCTCTGGTCATATTTTAAAAGTAACCAGAAACTGCATTTTGAGAGGAACCTAGTCTTGTAGCTGTGCTTTATACTGTTCTGAGACTGCTAACCAGATTTGATTTCTATAGGAGGGATCAACAGAAGAACAGCTAGTATCTGGATACCACCCAGTCAGGCTTAGGCTTAAGTTAAGCTAGGGTTCAAGATGTTCCTAGTCTAAAAACAGGCAACTCTTGGCATGCACCAAAGAGAAGTTTAGATGTCTTGAGAATTCAAGGTCAGAAAGAGAGATGCTTAAGAGCACAGATACCTATTTTGCGGGGGGTAGGGTATGCAGGATCCTCAATATTTGATTTAGGTGCTTTAGATGCTTGACTCCTTTGATTTGACCAGTACTTTCTGTGCCTCACTCCTTCATTTGGGAACTAGCACTACCTCATAGGGGTGAATTGAGTGTATATACATTAAGGAGTATGAGGCGCTCAGTTACTACATTCTAAGTAACATGCAAATCATTTAAAATAGATTGAATGATCCTTCACTCCACCTCCAACTGAGATTTTTTTTTGGTCGGCGTGAGTCCGGAACAAATGTTAGTGCCGTCTGTGTATTTACATCCAGCCAAAGTGTTCTCATCTCTGCCATCCCAGTTTGAGAAGGGCATGGAATTTATTATTGATAACAGTCAGAAGTGGAGTAACCATGTTTTAAGTTTAGACTATGCTCCCAAGCCTATTGATGGCAGACAAATTAGTTTTCCACATTACAATGGATTAACCGTTAGGTTTTGTGACAAGGAGGAATAAGTCACTAAACATTTCTGAAGTATTACCAAAAGTAAATTTACAAACTAGCAAGAAATTGAGAATTTAATAGTCTGATTATTTAGAGTAAAATTAAGGAAGGAGGAGCCCCATTATTTATACTGGTTTAGAATCCATAATCAGTAAAATATTCTTATAGCAAAGTTTAAAGTTCCTATGTACTCAGTTCTGCTATGCACAGATCTACTGAAAGTTTTAAAAGTTATTAGTATAATAGAGTCCAGTGAAAAGAGTTCTCATTCTCATCTCTAAAGGTATTGAAACAGGACTAATAGAAGAGTACTAAACCATCTGAAAGCTAATTTGACTAAGTATATGCTTTACATATTTAGCAACAACAATGATTTCCATTTCAGTGCAGCACCCTGGCAGAGATTTGAAATCTGTGCCAAGAAGGGGAGAAGAACACACACCCTTAGTGATCGCAAAGGTTATGTTTCAGGAATTGTGGTTTAATAACTTTGGATGTCAAATAATATCTAGTACTATGTTACAATTAAGCCTTCCAATCAGAGTCTTTCAGACAGGACTTTCAAGTGAGGAAGGTGAATCAAACTCTCATATAGTACAGTGCTGAATTTGGTAGGTGGTGGCAGGAACAGGGATTTGAAACCCAAACCTTGATCAATTTGCATCCACTTTTATTTCCTAATTTAAAAGCATACCCTCCTCTAGGTTTCATTCACAATATTTCCTCTGAACTCTTCCTTAAACTTGGAAGCAGCATCAAGCCTTGGGCCTCTCTGACAGAGCCTAAACAAAGTTACATTTCCAGAAAATCCTGTAGTGCTGGATGTTCTTCAGGATCCACATTTAAAAGGGTATTCTCCAGTGTGGAGTGGACTCTCAGTAAGAGGTACTACAACCTGGGCTGCATTTCCTCTTGCACAGATTCACTGGGGCTGATAATACTTTCTCTGTCTTCCTTTCTCCAGAAGTCACAGAGGACTAGAGGGAACACCACTACATTGGCTTCAAGCTGCCTCATTCCATGTGGGGAGCAACACAACCACTAGTCTAGAGGATCTGGCCCTCCATGATTGCCAAACAGAGCTCCAGGTATCCCTAGAAGTTGCAGGTCCCAGTACAACATTAGATGCTCTTTATGCGCATATCTGTTCAAAAGAATGAGGCATCTTGGTTCCCTTCCCCTACCTTTTTTTTGGCCACAAGAGGGTGCCATTTAAATTCATTTCATGTAAGAAATTGGCAAGTTAGAAAAAGTTTAACGGGGAAGATTGGTGTCTTCTTAGATCATTCAATACATTTCCCTAGTAGGGATACAGAAATTCCTATTGCCTTTAATCCAAATAAGCCATTTAATCATTTTAAAATGTTAATAATAAGAGTTTGATATTAAAATCTATTCAGATTAAAAACCTTTTTAGTTTAATGGAATTTTCTGGTCAACTGCCATTGTACTGTTAGAACCAGGATTTTGTCTTTACACATTTTCACACAAACATGAAATAAAATACATTTAACAGAATCTCTTTTTAGCACAGATCTGCCTTGAAGGATCCACAGGCCACCAGGACTTGCACTAAAGTTTTTGCCTGAAAAGATCTTAAATCTTTACAGAGCCATTTCACATTTTCAGGGTTAGAAGAGATCTCTCATTTCAACTACTCTAAGGGTCAAATACCAAGGTAAGGAGCTAGGGACATGTAGATGTTCACTTTCAGAGACTAAACTTATCCTCAGAAGACTCCGAGTGAACAGTGCTGCAGTGGAACTGCAAAGATGTACAGTGCTTCTGCTGAGTCACCACATCATTGCTTCTTGTCTTGACAGGTCATTTTGGAACTCTGCCCAGCTGCCTCTGCAGTTCTACAAGGTAGGCTGTAGAAATCTGGCTGAATGAAAGAAAAAAAAAAAAACGCAGTGGGAGGAGAAATCATGTCATCATGACATTCTGGAAGAAAAAAAGAACTAAGAATGCTGCGGGACATCTGCCCTTTCAAAAGCCTCAGGAGTCTCTCAAGCTGATACATTTCAGATTGGCTTAATATTTAAAAGAGATGCACTCAAAGACATAAGGGAAGTTTGAGAAAAGAGTGGCCTTTGTTGTACATGCGGAGATAAAAAAAATCCCCACATTTATGTACACTGATTACTATACATTTAGCAAGACCTGTAATTACTACTCTACACCAAGTGTATCATTTGAGAACAATTTACTTACCGCCCAGATGTGCTCATATATTTACTACAGGACCTTAAATTCTTATCCAGAGGGATCTACTCTGTCATTTAGATCCAGATGCTAGAGCAAAACCATTGACATTGGAACATGTGGTCTAGAGTCCCATTATTTATTTATTTATTTTTAAGATTAAGGTTACTATTTTAAACTTGATAAAAGGACACATTTAGTTACAAATTCACTCCCAAACCAAAGTTTTCCCTGTGATCTGTTCTAAACACAGAAATATACAAATTTTGATTACAGCACACAAGAGTCTCCAAAGAGTCTACTTCCATATTTGCTTTGCTCTTCATTTAGATGACCTTTTACTCTTTTAGGTTTTGGGCAAAGGCCTAACTACCAGGGTCTGCGCTCTGGGTGGAAACGGCAGCTGGGGGCGGCCAGGTTTAGCAGTCATTCTCCCCCCCCACCTCCCCCCTCTGGTCACCCACCCTTTGCTACACTACTACTTTGTGGGGAGGTTGCTGGGAGAGAAGGAGTTACAAATACCTGCAATTCTTATCACAACACCCTGCATAGGTCTAATGTAAGCAGAATGTTTGCTTGAATACAAAGTAGGTAAAGACTGCAATAATAGATCTTACATGAAAGATTTGTATGTGTAAGATTCTACCTCTGGGAAAGTATGCTTTTTCTTATGCACCCATCTGTTTCAGATGGAAGCTGGGCTATACCTGCATGAGATAAAAAATAAAAATCTTTCAGAGTTGCATACAGGTCTCACTCAGTTTTATTTCCAATAGGATATTATTAATCTTGTGCTAAAACTGCCAAGCACAGAAATTTGTTCCTTGCTCATATATGTATGCTGTACTTTCTTCCTCCTTAGTCTAAACCTCTCTGTCACTGCAGAGCCAAAAGGATTTTTACAACCACAGAGAAGTGAGAGGAACCATACAGAGTAACACAAGTAGATGCAACTAGCAGAAATGGATGAAAGGTAACAATTCAGTCCAAACAGTAAAAGAAAAAAAATGCAACCCCAACAATAACATTTTGGATGGTTGAATTGCTTCCCAGCAGAAGTGTTAAACATCCCCTCACCTTGGGGATTTGAAAAGTGGGATTGGTCAAGCCACAGGATGTATGTGCACACACCAAAATAGAGTTTCTATGAGTCAATGCACAGACAGGTCTCAGACATGAGTGCAGTTCAGGGAACTGACTTGAACAGTTAAGATAATCAGTGTCTGGATTATGGAATTCTGCTTCCTATTCAGGAAGAGCACACACCAACTGCTGCAGCTTCCTTAGCCTGACGAAGGGTTTTTGAACCCGAAAGCTTGCTTAATAACTATTCTCCAACCATTTGGGTTGGTCTAATAACAAATATCAAATTCACCCAAGGAACCTTGTCTGCCTATATCCTTAGACCAACATGGCTACAACCTAAATCCCTGCTTCCTGTTTTAACATTGTTACCACTAATAGGCTGTTCTGCTATCTTCAGCCTGTCATTTATTGCATTTCCCAGATCTCTTTAATAGCACATTCACCTTAATAACTACTACAGTTTGTACCAGATTGTCACCACCATACATAGGACAGATACAATAGGCACAACTGCCCAAGTTCTCCTATTCTTATCTTACAGGTGTCACAGCCTTCTTTGGGAAGGACTAGTGTCAGAGTACGGTGATGTCATTTGATACTCACCAATACATCAGACTCTTTGCTGACACTGCCAGTTAAAAAGTGAAGCAATTGTCAGCTAGGAATCAGACTGAAAAAAAAGAATACTGACTCATTTCACATCTGTTGGTGGGTAATAATTTTCAGTCATTCCCCACCTAAGCTAGACCGAAATCAGCGACTTAAAGAAAGAAAATTGAATAGGTCCATGGTCCACTTGGGTAACTAAACTGAATGGGAATTGGTCTTATACTGCAATAACAGTTCCCTAATCCAACTAGTGCTCTAGGGATTCTTTGGCTGTAAATCAGCTCCTGAAAGTGCATAATCCACTTGTATATTTAAACATCCCACAAGGCAGTAGTTTATATTTTCAGGTAAACCACTCACAGTAATAATTACCACAATACTCATTGTTTGAAAGACCCACTAAATCCCAGCAGATTTAGTGTATGGTTTAGTGCAAGCAATCCAATTACATTTAGCAGCCTCCATAAAAAAAAATCATTTCTAGGTTTGTTAGATGCCCCAGTGACTATGAAGTGATTTGAAAACAACACAACAGAAATGCCAGGCTGGATTTAAATAGCTTTTATCAACAGCACTAAAATGTAATCTTCACTTTGCCCCTCTGTTCATGCATGAAGCATTTCCATCATACCAGCTTTGAAGTGTCTACTACAAGTTGTTTCAAGTAGAAGAATTATCACTCACAATTGGCCTAGCTCTACTCACAAAAATCAGGAGAAGTTTTGACATGGATTTCAATGAGAGCAAAATTAGGCTAATGCATTAGAGAGTCTTACCCTTAGAAACTGGGGTGAAAGACATGCTGAATTACTTGAATTACCCAAAAGACAAACTTGCCTCAAATGACCTTAGTAAGTCAGTCTTCCAAATAAAGCAATGTAAACATGAAACTGTTACAAACATAGTACTTGTTTGTAATCTTCAATACTGATTTAAAAAATGGTAACACCCAAGATAGAAACTTATCCACACTACAAACATATACCAGACAGCAGCACTTTTATACACACACCACACAGACTACCTCCTGAATTGGAAAAAATGTAGCCACAAGCAAATAGCATTTAAGTGTGCTGCAAATGGGCAAACTAATTGATATGCAGTTAGCACTGCCACTTGGCATAACCCAGACACAATCTCTTTCACAGTACCACTTTCCTAGCAGAGAAAAGAAAAATATACAATGACTCTTGCGACAGGCAGCTTTCTCTCTCTCTCCTCCCACCCCAATTCTCTTCTATTCCACAAAGATCCTCTTTCCAAGACAGGGCCAAAAAAGGTTAATTTTCCTGTAAGGGTAAAAATTCCAAAGGGAACATCTCCTTTTCAGCACCAAGTTAAAATCCTTACCATTCTGCTGTGGAAGTCAGTTAAAACTGAAAAGCCTTCCCAATCCAATGCTGGGAAAGCACAGCAAAACCTCTTCTTGCCACTTGTCAAACCACATCTAACCTAGCCATATCATCCTACTTTCCCAAATATTTCCTTTTTGGTTTGGTTTATGGGAGTCAGCTGAGGCTATTAGGATAAGAAATTCCAGGTGCATCTACTCCCTGGTTGTTTAACTCTTTTAGATCTGGTCCCATGCTCCAGCAGATATGTCAGGAAAACATAATTTTGGATTTACCTGAGATGACATAGGCCAAGGGTTTCCCAGTATCCAGATGAACTGTGTACCTTATTATAGGCTTTCCTCACATTTCATATCCTTCACTTAAATTCCTCTTTCCTTTTCACTTTCTACTCTTTCACACTGTCTGCAGAGGAAACAGAAGAAACCTAACTGCTTCTGCAGATATTTCTTCAATTATGGCCAGAAGTCCAGGCTGGCACCTTCCTAAACTAGGGACCTAGTGTAGGAATAATAGACATGGGAAATCTATCACAGTCTGACAGCTGACTAGTGTGAACTTCTTGACTAAAGAGAGGCAATACTGGGCTAAGAGAAATAGCACATGATTCTATAATTCTGACTGATTTTATTTAATATGGCTGTAACTAGCTATGAGGAATTAATTAGGGAAAATGAAATGAGAGTCATTAAGGAACAGCAAACATGGGTAACACAGAAGTCATAGGAATCCAACTATTGAACTGTACATGCTGAATGCTTACTTTTATACACACATTCCACTACACAAACAGGCAATAGGCCTCGAGAATAATCTCGTATCTTTCCAAAATATTCTGTTATATTCTCATTTTCCATTTGGGATGCACAAACACTGAATCTCAGATCCTCAGAGGCACTTAGATGCTCCTCCGCCTCTTGAAGTGTTTTAGTCCATCATACTGAATACCTAAATACCACAGCACAACAGGTGCTTAACTCCAGAGGTACCTCAGTTTCCAGTTTAGCCAATAATCCTGCTCAGAGCCCTAGCTCATGGCAAAATCCCCAAAACCCTGAAACAGGATTCTCAAACTGGACAGGGGAACACATCTTGCCTGCAAGGCCTGATTCTGCAAGGTACAGAATGCCTTCCACAAGGTAGTGACAACCTGAAATTCAATAGAAACCTTTAAGGACCAGCCAGACCCTTGTGTGAACTATCTGGTATTAGTAACACTCAAAATAGCAGCAATACGCTTCATGTGAATCACACTGAAAATAACACGTAAACGCTCACTGCATACTAAAATGCATGGGAAAATCCTGTGTGTGTCCAGGCTTAAAATGTTTACTATTTTATCAAACTAAATAGCACTCACAGAAATCAAAATTTGGCCCAAATCCTTTCTTTTATCTTGCAAACTTGCGATAGATAACAAATAATTCCCGTTGTGGAAACTTAAGTCATTGACTTCAGTGAAATCAGGACTAAACAATTAAAGTTTTATAATTTAGCCAACAGTAGCACAATGTTCCCTAAGTACTAAACCTAAGTATTTTAGGTATTCACTTAGGAGGAAGAGAGTCATCTAGGCTCTGGATTCTGTATTGATCTTTCCATTCCTTAAAGACATTCACGCAAGAAGAAGAACTAAACAACCACCTTTTATTTTAGAGTATCAGACAGGTCTGTTCAATCCCTTTGTCTTAAACTAACTTTACTATAAGGAGATACCTCCCAATTTCCATATCTTTTATATTAGGGAGCATCTCTAAATTATAATTTTATCACTACAGATTCCAACTGGAGGTGCCTGCCTGCACCTGAGTCAGGAAGCTAAACTCTGGTGAAGCTAAACAACTTAACTGTGTGTGCCTACAGCAGTGACTTTTCAGAGGGTGCCATTTTCTGTCATTCAAATTCTGTGATTCTTTTTGCCCCCCAAAACACTGCAGTGTTATCAACAGGACAATAACTGCCATAATTATTGGATAAAACAGAGTATACATTAACATAATATAGATAACAAAAATGGTAATAGGGCTATCCAATTTCCAACCAAGTTTCTCAACATTTTGTCACTAATTAGTTTGCCTCTTCACAGGCTCACACTTAAGGTGGGAAGAAGTGTGATTCTGTAACAAAATCTCAAGCCAAAAATTTACTTAATGAATGGCACGAGACTTATTGTAAAAAGACTTTATAACAACACTGTAGACTCAGAAATAACAGAAGAGGCTAGTAGGCAATGTGTTCTTCCCCCCACCCCCCAATAGTTATATTATGCCTATCAGACACAGCCAGAGGCATAGCATGCTCCTTCAGTGACCAGGGCAAGGCAGGATGGGGGGAGGGTATGCTGACCACTGGAGACTAAGGGAGAGTGATAGAAAGGGGAGGGGGAGCACAGTCTTGTGTGTCCCTGTTGTGATTTCTTAGTTGGTCTAATAAAAGGAATCATCTCTGAACCAAGAGTTCTGGTCTAGGGACAGACAATACACATAAACCAGTTTAAGTGATCAGAAACTGGTTTAAACCTGTAACAGAACAGATGTTCAGTGCACATAAGCTCATTTGAAAATGGCTGAAACTGGCTTGAGATAAACCTGGTTGAATGTAGTATCAAGACTTAATTGATTTGGCTCAAACCAGTTTATGCCATGTCTGTCCCAGACCTCTTGCTGGTTTTAGATAAATCAGACTCCCCCA